CTCCAAAGGCCATCTCCACAACCACTTCCCTAACAAAGCTGAGTTCTTTTTAAGCACATTCCTGAGCCCTAATCCTCCCTCCTCTTTGCTTCTACCCACAACCCCCCACTTAATTAAATGGTCTTTTTTACCTTCTCCCGGTTCCTACAGAAAATCTCTCACCATTTAATTAAGAGTTTTAATTAAATGGTCTTTGTCTATCTTCTTTTGCTTTTGGTAACATTGCTACCCTTGCYAAGTTAGGTATAATTTGTCTTGCATCTTCTTCTAGATCTTGGGTTATAGATTTTGTCTGTAAGTAAACTTATTAAAACTCTTAATTGATCTGTCTCATTCTTTCTTATTGTGTGTTCCAAGATCTCAAGACAGAAAGGACAATCGGTAGTGAGCATGAAGCTAGAGAATTGTACCATTTAGATGGTGGTGGTTCACAATGTGTTTACGCATGACACTTTCACCTCTACAATGGCATTGTCAGTTGGGCCATCCATCTCTTCCTGTCTCAAGAAGCTAGTTCCTAGTTTAGTGTCTATTACTAAGTTACAACATTAGTCATGTCAGTTTGGCAAGCATAGTTAAGTGCCATTTGTTCCAACTTCCAAGAGAAAATAATAGAGTGTTGAGTCCTTTTGTTCTTGTCCATTATAAAGTTTGGGGTCTAAATTGTGTTAAATCATACAATAGGTTTAAATATTTTTTTGCATTTATTGATGATTATTCAAGAGTGACTTAGATTTACTCAATGAAAGCTCATTCAGAGTTGTTCATTATACTTCTCTTTCTATGCTGAAATTTGAACTCAATTTGGTGTTTTCTATAAAAATGTTCTATTCAGATAATGCAAAGAAATATTTTCAAGGGCCTTTTCAGTCGTTCTTTGAATCTCATTGTATTATTCATTAATCTTCTTGTTCACATTCACCACAACAAAATAATGTGGCTGAACGGAAGAATAGGCATTTACTTGATATTGCTTGGGCCCTCCTAATTCAGATGTTAATTTCTAAAATTTATTGGAGTGATACCGTACTCATGTCTTGTTTATTGGTGAGTCTCCTTCATCCCTTCTTTTCCTTCCATGTCCTTGTTAATTGTATATCATACTCACGTCTAAAATTTATTGATGTGTTTGTTTTATTCATAGATTTGGTCCCGAGCTTGATAAACTTGATGCACATGCTCATAAGTGTCTTTCTAGGATATTCTCAGACCTAAAAAGGTTAGAAGTGTTATAGTCCTACCCTTCATTAGTTTCGTCTTTCTTTTTGATGTTTTCTTCTTTAAAAACGTTCCTTATTTTTACGCAATTGAGTCCTCTTCTCCTCCACTTCCTTTCTTTGTTCTTACTACAAAGATTTCCCTGTCGGCTACTATTTCCGATGCACCTATGCAACCACCGATTCATAGTGTACACTAAAGGACCAAAGGGAGTCTTTACTCCAGCTCTAGCCTTTGATGCACCATTATCAGATTCACCATCGATAGGTCCATTTAGTTTAGATTTGTCTATTGCCCTTTGAAAAGATAAACACTCATGTACTAATCTTCCTATTTCATGTTATGTATCTTTTACTCATCTACCTCCTTCCTATCAGTAGTTTGTGTCTCTTGTCTCCTATGTTTTTGTTCATAGGTCTATTTAGGAAGTCCTTACCCCATTGGACTAGAAAAAGGCAATGATAAGGAATTTCATGCTTTTGAGACTAATCATACTTGGGATCTCATTCCCTTCCCTTTTGGGAAGAAGGAAGTTGGTTGTCGTTGGATTTACACAATTAAGCATCGACCTAATGGTAGAGTGGAACGTTTTAAAGCATGATTGGTGGCAAAAAATTATACTTAAGACTTATGGTGTAGATTACATTGATACCTTCTCTCCAGTTGCTAAGATTGACTTTGTACATTTTATTATTTCTTTGGTTACCCACTATGATTGGCCATTCTTTCAATTGGAGAGGTTGGGAATGTATATAGGTTAAAAAAGGCAATTTATGGGGTGAAGCAATCTCCTTGTCACCATAATGCTTCGGCTTCATAGCTGCTAAAACTGTTTCGATCTTAGAGTTTTGAAGCATAACTTTCCTCTTACTCTCCTCATTGTGCACTAAAGGATATGCTTGAGATAAGAAAACACTCTCCCTAGTAAGAAGCTGTCTCACTATATCATATTCAGAATTTAACCTTACAAGAAATTCAAAATCCTTGTTCTTATCCACCAATTTGTCTCCAAATGATCAATTTCATGCCACAAAAATTTCAAGGTTGAGAAATAAATCGACATAGGTTTCTCCCCCCTGTTTCAGATTTGTCACTTCAACTTTTAGGTCATAGGTCCTTGATACTAGGGGCTGAGAATAAGTTCATTTCATATTGTCCCAAATGTCTTTGACAGTCTTTGCCCATAAATAGTTTCTACTATATGAGGCTGCATTGAGTTGCAAAGCCAAATAATTTTTGCCCATGACTAAGTAATTTTCTTGAACCCACTTCGCATAGTTCACATAGGAAGGGTCTTCCTTGGCTGGCATCTTAGTACCACCATTTATATACCCCAACTTGTCCCTTCCTCCAATGGCTATCATTGAAGATTGAGCCCACTCAAGATAGTTTGCTCCATCAAACTTAATGGTTGTAATCTGGAAGGAGTTGTTGTTTGTCCCACTACCAGCCCCTACAAGTCCTTCCCCAGTTGATTTAAACTCATTTCCCATATTCCCCATCCTTGACTGAGCAAAAATATCGCCCTTCCCAGCACTTTTCTAATAAGAGAAGTGATTTCCTCTTTAAAAAATAGCAGTCAAGCTGAAACCAATTGGCTGCAGCACAAAACTGGTCGTTCCAACAAGGAAAAACCCTAGAAAACAGAGAAGAACACGAGAAGATCCAGCCGCAACTTCCAGAGACTTCAGAAAGCTCTCCACTTCCAGTCGATCTCTAAACAAGTCACAATACTACCCAGAAAATACTGAGCGCCACTTTCAGCCTGAGGTTTAACCCCTAAACCTCAATCGAAACAGGTCTCTCTGATTCTTCCTGGTCACCGGGCAAAACAGGTGCAATAACAGTGCACCGTACTCCACTGACCTCCAAGAATCAGGCAAAGAAAGGTTGAAACTCCAGCCCTAATAGAGTCTCATGCAGCCATCTGGGCTAAGCATACATGAGGCCTAAACTAAACCTAAACCTGCTCTGATACCAACTTAAAACACCGCTTTCAAGAAAGAAATAGAGGAGGAGAATATAAGAAGGAATGAGAGAAAGAGCAGAATGAATGGGTTCTGCCGGCCCCTTCATTGGCTTTTATATTACTTGAGGAAAATATATAATGACAAAAATACCCCTGTCAACTGTGACAGAAAAACTAAGTACAGCAGTCTGAAACAAAACAAGGATGGGGAGCAAGGTAACAAACATTATAGAACCAACTAGGTATCTGTTACGATCCCGAATAGGACGTAACGTAAATTTCGTCTTCCAGGGAGACGTGAGACCTCCGATAAAAACCAAACAGTTGTTTAGGTAATATTCTTTAATTCATATCCTCAAAGCGATAACACTCAAATTACCATGACTCTCTGAACTAACTAACCCCCCACAAATAAGGTATTAAACACTAAACTCGGCCATGTACTAACACAAGCACTATAGACGTATTTCACATACAATTACAGAAAATCAAATTAAACCCTACACGTCACTAACGTGTCCCACTTAATTTGTCTTACTTCTACTCACCCGATTTTACTTACCCATTAACCACCTTCAAATCTTATCACATTATTCAAAGGTACTATCTAATATCTTGACACGTGGACTCTCTTTAATAGACATGTGATATTCCCAACCCCTTAAGATTGACCTTGTCCTCAAGATCAAAGCTTTCGACCCTTATTTGTTCCTTAGATCAAGTCCTTGCTAACCCTTATTTGTTCCTTAGATCAAGTCCTTCAATCTCTGAAAGTAGATGGCAGATCAACACTCTTTGGTCCATAGAACAATCGTCGGATGTTGCAAATTCCCAAAAGATATAATTTCCCAAGGTAAGATTCTTAGTTGGTGCTTTCGAGCAGCGTGGGATAGCCCATGATGGATCTACAAGAGCAGCAGTGTGGGTCCTAATGGCGATTCCATGTGGTGGTAGCACATCTAGTCCATCCACTGAGAGAACAGGTGGCTTTGGATTCTCTCCACAAGTCATCCATTTGGTTTGCTTTGCATAAAAAACTAATTTGCTGTTATTTACCTTCATTGCAGCTTCCCCATGGTACATTTTCCTGTTTGGATGAAGAGCTTTATTTTGATCCATGTCCTTACACCCTTTTATCATGGACGCCAGTGAATTATCATCCACGTCAATGATGGCTGATGAAATAACAGGAACTGACCACAAGCCAATGAAAGTAACCAAATATACAGAACCCTCGGTATAGCCACCCCTTCTCAAAAATCTATTTCTGTAACTTCTTGTAATCTTCTGGATTAGAATTAGGAGATGAAAAGGTAGCAATTATCTTTGTTCCTTCAGTTCCTGATACTCCAATAATCTCCCCAGCATGGCCATTAACAGTAACCATAAAAGTTGAACCTTTATCTCTGTTTTCTAATGACATCAATGGTAGCGTCCGCCTCCCTAGATTTTCTTTCATACCTATGGATGCAATTCTTGACCCATACTTCACACAAGTGAAAACCTCATGACTTGAAACAACCAAGATATATCCTCTAGGCTGTAAATAAGCCATATTTGGACTCGAGTTTATGATTCTCAATTCCCTGTATAACCCAAACGGGTTTGCAATTGCTTGGAATGGATAATTGTCACCATTGTATATTTCCCTTGGAGTCTTTTCATGTGACAAGAGACAGTGAAGCAATTTTATTCCGTTCACCGTCTCAGGCATCCCTTATGTGTTCTTGTTTTCATTGCAAATAATTAGAAAGTCACGAGAGGCAGAGACCGAGATAGACATCATGAACAAACTATTTGCAATGGATGAATCTTCATAAGTTTKWTACTGGGATTTCAACGGAGCTGTGGAGATCTTACCAATCTGTAACTGGTGCATAGAGTGATCACATCATTGACGGAGTAGGAATCCAAAAGTTTGAGTGATGAGATGTTAAGCGACAGGGGTGCCGAGTCTGATGGTGGGGACGTGGATACCAGCCCAATCTTCTGGAAGGAAGAATTCTAGTTTTGACAGTGGTGATTGGTCATACAACTCAAGCAACACAGACGTCTTTGGACTTCGTCGGGGTGGCACTCGTAGCTGCTCCAGTGTGTGAGGGAACTTCACCCCTCGTGAAGTATCACTAAAGAAGGTCCAAGGAGGGACATGGGCGATCGGTTTTTCTTGGATTCCTTCTCCGATCAACTTCCTTGTAATTGCCTTTTTCCCAACGTACTCCTTAGTGAGCCACCTGGTGCATTGAGGGTTCATAATATGAAAAAACAAAGCTTCTCTGGTTTCTACTTTCATGTTTTATTCACTAACAATACCCAAATATATACACTCGAGAATCTCCTACGTATACAAGGATTGGAGACTCCTGATTCAATTACAATTACAACATAGACTTTCAATCATAATTGTAATCTATTGAAATCCTAACACCCCCCCCCCCCCTCAAGTTAGAGCATGCAGATTGTGAATGCCCAACTTGTGGAGAAAGTACTCAAATTCTTTGCGACTCAATGCCTTGGTAAAAATGTCAGCCAACTGAACGGTAGTTAACACATAAGCAGGACGTATGCAAC